AAAAGTTAATGTGTGTTTTGTGAAATTACTCTTCAATTTTTTTGTTCATTTTGCATATTAGGAGTTTACAAAATATTGAATATTAGGAGTTTACAAAAAAATTTTGAATCACTAAAACAGTTTATATATAAAATAAAAATTAATTTTCAAATTATTTGTCTTAGTGAAACATGGTGTCAAGACAAAAATGTTGGAAACGATTCATATTTCCATATACCCAATTACAATGTAGTCCATCAAATTAGAGACCTGGGCAAGGAAGGCGGGGGTTTATGTATGTTTCTTAAGAATTCATTGTTATTTAAGTTAAATTCAAATTTAAGTTTAATCAGTAATGATTATGAGTCATTGTGCGTGGAAATCATTAATAAAGCCTCAAAAAACATTGTTGTGCATGCATTATACAAACCACCTTCCGGAAAAAATAATGTGTTTGAAGATTACATTTAAAATATAATTGAAAATAAATCAAGTTTAAATAAAAGTGTTTTTTTTTGTGGGTGACATTAACGTAAATATTTTAGACTATGACGTAAATAAACAAACGAATAAATTCTTTAACACTCTTTTTCAAAGTGGATACATTCCATTAATAAATAAACCTACGCGTGTGACTAACGATACTGCAACGTCAATAGACTAAAATATAACTAATAAGTTTATAAATACAAAAATTAAAACTGATATATTTAAAACGGACATTTCGGATCACTTTCCGATTTTTATAATATCAAATTTATGCATTCAGCCTTAGTGTTGTCACGGTACCAAAATTTCAGTATACGGAACCGATACCAGTAAAAATCTGCGGTTCTCGGTTCCAATTTCGGTTCCAAACCAAAGATTAATTTAGACTAAGTTTGCCAATAAAAATTCACAATTCTTTGTATCAAAGCAAAACACAAAAACATGCTAGCTGAAAAACACACTATTTTTATTAATAAAGTTTAACAATGCCCTTCTTCATACTTGTTTAAAATTGTGTTTCAACTTTTTCCACAAATAATAAATGAAAAATTACAAACCTAAAAAACGCAATTTTTATAAATTAAACAAAATATGCGATGACCAACAAGTAATAAACTAAAATATTATTATAAATGTAAAAAAACAATGGCATAATTTAAGTATTTCAAGCCAAGGATTGTAAACATTTAAGTAATTAATTAACTAGATAAATAACAAAACAATAAGCCATGACTGAATAATCACTCTTATTTAAAAACTTTAACATTTTTAAAAATTAAACAAAATATGCCATAACTGAACAACAAGTTGTAAATTAAAATATTATTATACATGTAAAAAAACAAAACAACAACGGCATAATTTAAGTATTTCAAGCAAAGGATTGTAAACATTTGAGTAACTAAATAACTAGATAAATAACAACATTTTTTTCAAACAAGTTTCACCCAAATCAATACTGGTCTACACAGTTATTCCTTAAGTTACTTTCTTTGCCATTTCCAGATTTTCCGATAGAAATACTATTATATCAACATGTTCCTGACTCAGTCTTTAGCGTCTTGGGCTAACAATGTACCCTGCAGTACTGAACACTCTTTCAGATGAACAGCTAGATGCAGCAATGCAAAGGTACTTCCTGGCAAACTCTGATAGTTGAGGTAGAGTACCCATATTTGTTTTCCACCAGATAAGTGGATCATCCTCAGCACTGACCTCAGGCATCTGATCGTACACCAAGAATTCACCATTTATCTTGTCACTTGCAGAAAGAGGTGCTTGACTTGAGGATGGTGGCACTCCTTTTTCTTTCTTTTCCCCTTGAATGGTGGAAAGCAGAAATTTTAGGTGATTTTTGGATTTTTTTGATGGCCTGACTTCTTTACTTGACAATCCTCCAGACACCCGAGATGCAATTCCTTCTTTTTCATTGCCCATTTTTCTCACCATAGTCATCATAGCGATGCTGAAGATACTCGTGTATCTTTTCCTTCATCTCTTTGGCTAATGCAGAGTCACTTTGTTCATGACTGAGACACTCAAATCTCTTCCAGAGTAACGGCAAGACTGAAGACAGGGTAGTATGTTTTTCCCCGCTAAGTGCATCAGTAAAAGGACTGAGTGGCTCAAGAACTGCTTTAACAGTTTCTAAAACTGTAATATCTGAGTCTTTTGGCATCAGATGCCATTTTTTCCTGTCTTCAGCCAGGACAGCACAGACAACCTGCTGCTGCTCCAAGAAACGTTGCACCATATCGTATGAAGAATTCCAGCGAGTGGGTTCATCATGAATGAGTTTGTGGTCTGAAGAGGACAGATCTTTCTGTTTCTTGGTCAGCTGGCGTGAAAGTTTTGGGGATCTTGTAAAGGCAGAAATAGTTTTTCGAAGCCTTGACAGCACTGCAGACACCCTGTTTATGTCTAATGCCTTATTTACAGCAAGGTGGAGATTGTGTCCAAAACAAGGAATCCAGGTGTAGTCCTCAAAGGCTTTTTTGTTATTTGAGGCACTGTCTGTTGTGATGCCTGACATTCTTGTCCAACTTCCAGTCTTTTTTCAAATTTCAAGTTTTCAAATTTCAAGTTTTTCATCAAAGGCCTCCTTCAAACTTTCAGCAGTGTGGTCTGTGTTGAGACCACAACAGCCAAGACACCAGGATTGCAATTCCCATGATTTACTAATGTTCTGCATAGTTAACGACATGAAAGTGTCTGCAGTTCTACTTGTCCTCAGATCTGTTGTGCAGCTGTAAAATGATTTGTAACTGAGATGCTGGATTAGGAGGTCTCTGGTGTCATTGTACATGCGGGGAATCTCAGTGTACATAAAAAAGTTTCGACTTGAAAGCTGGTATTTTGGGTTGAAATGATGGAGCATTTGTTGGAATCCACATTTTTGAACTGTATAAATGGGCACTTTATCAATACATATAAATTCAGCAACAGCTGGGTTCAGCTTTCTTGCCTCAGGTGAGTTTTTGTCATATTTTTGTTGCCACTGAAAAGCCTCTTTAACTCTTGCCTGTTTATGAGTTTGCGGGGGTGTTCCATAGTCTTCCTCAGCTTGCAGCTGTAAAAGGAAAATATAATAAATATACTTTATAAGTATAGAAGTCAAAAATGGGCTGAGTCTGAACAAATGAAACATTAGTTTTTCTCTAAATAACAAACCTCAGCTTTTATAATAGCCTATATAAAAGCCTATATAAACAATTTTAATAAATAATTAGTATTTGTAAAAAGATTAAATATTTTAAATTTTGTTAAAAAATACTTTTTGTATAAAATTGTTTAATCCTTTACACGGTAGGTAATTACATAATTTCTATTAGTAGCACCATGGAAGTAAAAAAGTAAAGGATTAGAAGGATTTTCCCAATAATTAAATATAATATATGCAGTTTTATTTATTTTATAAGTATGTATTTTTTATAATAAATTTAAAACTATTTCTATAGCTATATTGATTTCCATTTTTATAATGCGATAAAAACCTTTAATACTTTAATTGAAAAAACTATACATAAAACTTTATTCGCTAAAACGTTTTCTTCGATAAATATTTTTTATTTTTTAGGAATTTATTTTTTTGAAGAAGGAAAGAATCAGCAAAAATATATATTAATATCATCTTTTACTAAATTATAATTTTTTTTACTTCATTAAATCGTTTAGAATTATTTTAAATAATAATTTTATTAACAACAACGACTTTATTCAAAACATTGAACGTTGTTAAAAACTTTTAATGCTTAAACGTTTTAATTGGAAGTCACTTAAAAAGTTACATTTCGCTTTTGAAGTCATCGATTTTATTTTCTGTGTAAAGTCATTCTATTAAAGACGTCAAAATCTTTTTTACAAAAGACTTTTTACAAATAACTTTTTACAAACGACTTTTTACAAACGACTTTTTACAGAAATACTAATTAAAAGAAAAGTCTTAACAATAGGTTGTAAAAAAACGTAAAAAAAGTATAGACTTTTTTAATTTAATTTTTAAGCTTATTATTGTTATTTTAATCTTTCTATAAGACTTATTTTTGGCTGTTTATTTCTATACGACTGTTTCAGACATTCAAATTAAATTATTATATATAATTCATAACAGAAGCTCTATATTTTAAATTAGTTTGAAACTTACCTGCTTGAACTCTTTCGTCAGATTCGGGTGTCGGTCTTTGAGGTGTTTTATTAAGTTCGATGTGTTTCCTCCTTTTGAGAAAAACTTCGGCGACATCGTTTGCAAATGGGTTTTTAATTATCAATGATATTCCCCTTGTCATCAGCCGCAAATCCAAAATATTTCCACACATGGCTTTTCCTCCTTTTTTCTCAACAAGTGGATTTAGAGCTACCACATCAGCTGCACCACCGGTCGCCATTTCTCAGCAGTTTAATAAAGAGGACGCGCTACTGCACGCATGCGCATCAAGGAATCGGGTTTGAACGGGTCTTTGGTACTACCGTACTTAAGAAAACTTGGTACCGTGACGTTTAAATTTATTTAGTACCGACTTGGTACCGAAGTACCGTGTACCGTGACAACACTATTCAGCCTGATGCTTATAAAAGAAAAGTTACAACACCAATTATAAACGATACCTCTATAAAATATTTTCATGATCTTATATCGCGGCTAAATTGAAAGGAAACGCTAAAAAGTCTAAATGCTAATAAATCCTACAATATCTTTTTAACTGAATTTCTTGCTCATTATAATGAAGCGTTTCCGAAAATTACTAAATTAGTCAAATCAAAAACGCTTTTAAACCCATGGATAACGATGGGAATCCTTAAATCTTCCAAAATTAAACAACGATTATATAGTAAATTTCTTAAAAAAAGAACTTTGGTAAATGAAACTAATTATAAAAGTTATAAACGTTTATTTGATTCAGTTTTAAAACGTTCAAAAAAAAAATACGATTCTGAAAAATTAAATAAAAATTTTTACACACAAAACATGGAATATTATTAAAGAGGTAATTGGCAAGAAAAACTTAGACCGAAATACACTCCCAACTAATATTAAAATTAATAATAATTTAATTGTGAATAAATCATTAATTGCAGAAACACTTAACTTTTTTGTTGATGTTGGTACGAATTTAGCTTTTAAAATAGGACCATCTCAGACAAGCTTTCGTTCATACCTAACACCTAATACAATTGTTATGCAAAATCATGAACTTACAGAAGATGAGTTATTAAATTCAGTTTCTTTACTAAAACCTAATAGAAGTTCAGGGGTTGATGATGTTAGTAGTATTGTCATTATTAAATCAATAAATTTTATAAAAATACCTCTTTTAATATTTTTAATTTATCGTTAAAATACGGAGTTTTTCCTGAAAACTTAAAAACTGCAAAGGTTACACCAATTTATAAAACAGGTGATCCCTCTGATCTTTTAAACTACAGACCAATCTCAGTTCTTACCTGTTTTTCCAAGATCTTGGAACGTGTTATGTTATATAAAAAGGTTTGAGAGGGTTTTCATAAGATTTAAAAGTTTTTTTTTTTATTGTTAGGAAAGTGGCACACTAAGACAGACATTTAATGTCTAAAAAACATGCATGGGATCAGTTAAAAGCAAAAAATGCCAGAATAGATTTCAATCTTAACTTACCCAGAAAACTCCTTTCTCCTTCTAAGAGACATTTGAAAATTCGTGTTTACAAAAAACAAAGATGTGTATATCTGAACTGCTTGAAGGAAGTTAAAAGAATAAACAACCATCTCAGGCAGTTTCATGGTTTGAAAACCAGAGACGAAGTTAAATGAACCAATATGTTTTCAAAACCTGTTCTTGAAACATTTAGCGATGAAGCTTCAAGTGGTTTAAGCTTTTCTGAAAGCTTTACTGATACATCTACTGATGATGAAGGATTACTGGAAAAAAAATTTACTAGAGCAATTCATAATAATGACAATTTTTTAGCAAGTGCATCCGACAGTGATGATCATTGGCTTGGTTTACAATATTTAAAAAATAGGCTAGAAAATAATTCTACAAGTAATTAAAGTAGTGGGCCTGATCTTAGAAATAAAAGAGTAACAGCTAATGAATAGGAATCTGGTGATGTATCAGCCAATGAAGATGATTCGGGAGATTCTGTTGACTTTGATGACGGTGACCAGAAATTTCATATGGCTTCAAGTGAAGAAGAAAGTTTTTTGGATAATTTTGTAGTTTGGTTGCAAAACCCAGATGGTGGAGTTAAACCTCAACGAACAGCAATAAAGCATAAAAATGTTATAATGGGTGCTGTTTGACATGCTTCAGATGATGAAATCAATTACAAATCAATTACAAACGAAATGCATTTGCATGCACTTTGTTTTTGAACTCTTGGATGTTAAAATTGCAGGAAAATTAAAAACAACCAGGAACTATTAAAACATACTTAGGTTAAGTCCAAATATGATTAGATTTTTGCATTTTAAATCACAAAACAGAAATACTTTCAAACAATAAGTATACAAAACTAAATGTGCTAGTAAAACAATGGCATCGTACATTAAATAAGGACATCCAAAAGAGGCAGCACGAAAAAGAACTTTCCATCTGCAGATGAAATTGTTCAAATAGACTTGTCTGAACATGTTAAAAATGCAAAGAATGTTATAAAAAATTTATGTTATAAAAAATATCTAATGCTATAGGTACCAAAGTTTGGTAATATTTTTTATTATTTAATGTCAAAACTTATTCTTTTATGAAATATATATTAATATCTTTTATTATATAATAAATTTTGCATTTTTAGTGTTTCTATATAAATTACACACTATCTGAATACACTATCTGAATAGTAGTTTAAAAAAATTATATAGTTTTAAATAAATGCATAAATATAAGTTTACTATTTTTATAATTTAAACATTAATAAATCTAAGCTTTAATTAATATTGACAAAAAAGCATTATGGCAGATGAAAAGATTCGAGAAATAGAACAAAGCTGGCGCTCAAACTGTTTCTAAATCCATACAACGACATTCTTGGTACCTTGATCCATATTTAGTCATTTTAGCAATTGCATATAAGAAATGTCAAGAACATGGCAACATGGCTAAGAAACTTATTAGTCTGAAACGAGGTCCCATAGAGGAATATTCCTTAGAAAGACAGTTGTTGGATAAAGACACTCTAATGAGTCTAAACTTTTTACAGGATGAGCCTCCCAGTTTAGCTCCACTAGTTACAGAGACCTCGTGGCTTTTGTTGGACATGCTTGATCATGGTAAAGCTGAGATTCAATAAATAATTTTTTTCTCCAGAGTATTGAATTTTAAATGATTTTTATCAAGATTTTAAACAGGCCTTATGAATCTTGATGTTGTGAACGATTGTTCAGGGATTGTTCTGGTTTTTCATCAGTCAACTTAGTTCAACAACTTGTTAACAAAGTACATTTCAAAGAGAAAAGACAAGATTAATTTATTTTTATTCATGTAATAATATAATAATAATAATAATAATAATAATAATAATAATAATAATAATAATAATAATAATAATATCAATT